ACAAGAGAAAGCAAATTATAGTATTTGATTTTAAAATTTTAAGATTTTAGTGGCTCGTTTTGTGTATTGAAAATAGTTAGTTAATAATTAAAAAAAAAAGTTTATCAACCATTCAACTACCTATTCTCATCTCATTAATTCGAGCCTCCAAACCAAGACATGACAAAAGTGGTATCATAGCCTAAGGAGTATTTTAGGAGTTTGAATTATAAAGAAAGAGCCATATGAATAATTTATGAAATTATTCGTGAAAAAAAAAATAGATTCAATAGTATAATTAATTATCTTATATAAATATCTAGGTATACAAATGATCAAGAGGAATTGATCAATAGAAATATTGAAGGAGAAGTACCATCTGAAGTGACTGTGAACCAATACCTTTACCCAGATGATGACGATTATGACGCAAATGCTTCAGTAATCAAGATCTCAATCTGGAGTTGGAGTGGATAAATATCTAAAGTTATTCCAGGACATGCGACCATCGTTATTCAAGGGTAATAAAGGACTAATTGAGGTAGATAACCAACTACTAATAATATAAAAGATTTTTGATAGCATGTACTCTAATGAAAGGAAAGTGTCATTTGCTACATTTGCTTTGGATGGAGAAGTAGAAAGATGGTGGAGAGCATAATGTGATGACAAGTTAACTAGGATATATTCCAAATATATTGGTCAACTGGAAAGACTTTATAGAACTTTTCAGAGAAGGGTTCATACCTATATAAGCAAGGAGGCAGATGTGAGACAAATTCATAAGATGACAAGTTAATTAGGATATTGTTAACCTCTGTTAAGCCACACAAAAGAAGAAAGAAATCCCGCATACATATCCTATGCCCGACGGATCCACGAATCCTGCCGAAAATCTCTACGTATCTGATTTACGACTAGCCTTAATCGAAAGTTCTCTCTCGTTATCGGGAGGGGTAATTAACTATAGGGGCTTGCGCCTATAGGAAACCAGAACTCAGATCATAAAGTCCTCACAAAATGAGGGCGAAATCTCTGGGTAGTGTCTTATCTACAAACCCATCTGCCTTCCAAAATTTACCTCGGAACTTAGTTCGTTAAAACTCCCTCGCCGAATTAGAAAAGCGAGCGGAGGCCGAGGCCAAATTTTCGGAGCCCACAGATATATTCCAAATATATTGGCCAACTGGAAAGACTTTATAGAACTTTTTAGAGAAGGGTTCATACATATATAAGCAAGGAGGCAGATGTGGGACAAATTCGTAAGATTAGTACAAAAAGACTTATTAGTCATGCAATATGAAGCAGAATTTGCAACTCAATCCAGATATGCACTGCAACTAATTGCAACAGTAGAAGAGAAATGATATTAATTCTCATATCGTTTAAAAGATGCAATTAGGAAACCTTTAGTGCCTTTAGGAATCAAGGGCTATACAATATTGGTAGAGAGAGCTAAAAGGGTGGAGATTAACTTTCAAATCACTCAAAAGCAAAGAGATCCACATAAAAGGAAAAATGTTGAAGAAAATATTCATAATATTCAAAACGAAAGAGATCCACATACTCAAATTCATAAGATGACAAGTTAATTAGGATATATTCCAAGTATATTGGCCAACTGGAAAGACTTTATAGAACTTTTCAGAGAATGGTTCATACATATATAAGCAAGGAGGCAGATGTGGGACAAATTCATAAGATTAGTACAAGAAGACTTATTAGTCATGCAATATGAAGCAAAATTTGCAACTCAATTCAGATATGCACTGCAACTAATTGCAACATTAGAAGAGAAATGATATCAATTTTAAAAGATGCAATTAGAAAACCTTTAGTGCCTTTAGGAATCAAGGGCTATACAATATTGGTAGAGAGAGCTAAAAGGGTGGAGATTAACTTCCAAATCAACTCAAAAGCATAGAGATCCACATAAAAGGAAAAATGTTGAAGAAAATATTCATAATATTCAAAACGAATGATCAAATGAGAAGAAGCTTAAGATTAGCTCAAGTGGAATTAGAAGTGTTGCTACGAGTAAAGTCATGGAAGCTTGTGCTAAGTGTGGAAGATTTTATAAGGGTGAATGTTTAGTTGGTTCTAAAACTTCTCACTAGTGTGAATGTTTAGTTGGTTCTAACACATATCATTAGTGTCATCAGCCTAGTCACATAGCAAAATATTATCCTACATTAGTTCAGAGAACTTTAGAAGAGATGAGATCATGTGAAGAACCTTCATATAAGCGCTTTGGCAAAATAGAAGATGATAGAATCAGCATTTTCACCTCCATCACAAAATCAACCAAGGCAGAATGTTTGACTGCGAGTTTATGCTTTGAAGCAATAAGAGCCTAATGAATCTATAGATGTTGGCAAAGATAATTGAGATGTCTTTAGTAACTTGTTATATTACATCAGATGTTGTGTTTTATCTAGTTATCTTATTATGTTTTATTGAATGTTTTGTTGTATCTAGTTATGTATTCAATGATAAAGTTTATGTTGAATGGAATTAAAGATGTTATTTTTCTTAAGTATAAAGTAGATATGTTCAATTTAACACATAATATTACACCATAACTAAAAGTCATATGTAAATTTTGAGGACGGAATTTTATAAAAAGAGGAAATTGCAACAACAGGTTGGACCAGTTTAGTTGAACTGACCCTAATTAGCTAGCAGGCAAGCCAATAGTGAGCAGGTGAGCAAAAGCAAGCGAGCAGGTTGCGAGTGGGTGCGGGCGTAGCTGGCAGAACCAAATTACGTGAGCAAGAAAATGCATTCGAGAGCGAAAAGCTACGACTTCTCATGTGAGTACTCATACTCCTATCTTATATTAATAACGCTGATTTCTTTAATTAGATTTTCATTGAATTAATTGATATTTGTTAATTAATAAGTATTGAAAATTTTAACATTTATTTCTTTTTTAATGGTCATGTTGAATTGATTGATAGTTAGCATAATTATTCAGCATATGCATAATAAAAAATTTGAATTATAAATGAATGTAATGATTATATAGAAATGCTTGCATGTGCATTTTCATTGATAGAGTAAAACCCCTTATGATACTGACTGAGAACACAATGTACTCACACACATAAATGAAAAAAGTTATGAAAAAAATGGAAATATAGTACATTTATTGATACTATTTTAGATGGTGTATCTTTGGATGATTGTATTATTTACGAGAATGATAAATATATGAAATATGCATAACATTAATGAACATGTGTAAATTGTTTAATTAGAATTATCTTATATTTTGAAGTATGCATGCATATTATTTTAAAGATTTTGTATTACTATAATTTAGAAATATAATTTACCCATTGAGTTATTTTTTGGCTTACCCTTTTATTTGCAATAACATTTACATGTATTATTTGATTAACTTAAAATAAGTGTAAGAGAATGTTTGAATAGTTGCTATTTGAAAGATTTATAATTGTGCAACTTATGTAGTTTTGATGATTCCAAACATTATTGTTCAAATGTATAGTTATCTCCTATCAATTTCAGAAGATTTGCACTTGCTCTTGTGTGTACTAACATTTCAGGAAAATCAGACTCCAGACTACGAAAACTTCAAATCAAATTCAACATGAGACTTTGAATTAATTTTGAAAGGGAGTGATTGTAATTGAGTGAATAAAATCTCACACACACAAAATAAGGAGATCTTGAAATTCTATACTGATCGTACAGGACGATATTTATCGTACTGGACGATCTGTCAGTTATCTCCTATAGAGCACTTGGAACGAATAGGAACTTGCTTGAAATTTTTTTTTTTTTCTAAGTCCTATTCTTCCAGGACGAATTTTAATATCGTCCCGGACGATGCGTTCTCTGTAAAATTTCGTCCAGACGAATTTTACCATCGTACGAGGCGACCAGTCCTCTGGAAAAATTTCATCCAGACGAAAATAATTATCGTACCGGACGAACAGCTCTCTGGAAAATTTTCGTCCAGACGAAACCAAATTATCGTCCCCGGCAATTGGTCCTCTGGAAAATTTTCGTCCAGACGAAATAAATAATCGTCCAGGACGATCGGCTCTCTGAAAAATTTTCGTCCAAACGATAAACCGACTTAGAACAGTTTTCAGCAGTTTCTAGAACCGACCTTGTAATAACCGTTCGTACTGGACGAACCAAGTTCGTACAGGACGATCAGCTGTACGAAGTCAGTTCGTACACATATACAAATAGGGTCGTTTCAGATCGTTTAAGTAAAATCGTCCAGGACGATCCAGGATCGTACGGGACGATCCACTGCGTACAGAATTGAAAATTTGCAGTTTTTGGGCGGTTTCACTTGTCTTTTATATAAATAGTCCAAATTAGACTGCCACCCAATCTTTTTGTCATTTGATCTTCGTGCCTATTGAGAGAATAGCCAAGGGGAGAGTGGAAGAGAGCATTCAAAGGAGAATTCCTACCACTGGAGCGAGAAGGCTTCACTTGGATTGCTAAGGTAAGAGTCTCTACTTGTGAAATTGGATTTCTTCACTCTTTTCTTTCTTCCTTCTAGATTCGTGTGAGAAGATCATTCAAGAAGGTCCGGTTCTCTGCCGACACTTGGAGAGTGTGAAAGGACGAAGGGTTCTCTGCCCACACTAGGAGAGTGTGAAAGGAAGAAGGTTCTCAGCCTACACTTGGAGAGTGTGAACAGACGAAGGGTTCTCTGCCCACACTAGGAGAGTGTGAAAGGAAGAAGGTTCTCTGCCTACACTTGGAGAGTGTGAACAGCCGTAGGGTTCTCTGCCCACACTAGGAGAGTGTGAAAGGAAGAAGGTTCTCAGCCTACACTTGGAGAGTGTGAACAGCCGTAGGGTTCTCTGCCCACACTAGGAGAGTGTGAAAGGACGACGGTTCTCTGCCAGCACTGTGGATTGTGTAAAAGGACGACGGTTCTCTGCCGCACCGGGGAGTGGTGAAAAGAGTGTTTTGTACAGGCTTCTCCGCCTTGCTGTGGGTGCTAAAGGAGAGTCACTTTGTTTAGGGTGCGTTTGGGACGGAGTTACTGCTGCTTTACTTTATAAAAAGTCATTAAATCATTGTTTGGGACATTGCGGCAGAACCACGGCAGAAAAAATTCTGCGGTCCGCTGTTGCTTTCCACGACCATTCCCTTATCCCGCGGTCCGCTGCAGTCGGCTGCTTTCGGCAGAAAAATGACGAAAATCCTGCGGCAAATATCGCTAATGGGCGACCGATGTTCTCGTTCGTCAGCAAGAAGTTCGACCGCCGGCGGGACTCGAAGGTGGCTTCGGTTCGCAGACCGAAGCTGGAGCAGAGGAACGCCAGTAAGAAGATCGACTACGATGCTCGTGGGCGTCGTCCTGGAACATGCAAATGAAGATGAAACACGAAAACAGCCACTCCAGAATGACAAAATTTTCCATGAAGCAGCGATCATGATCAAACAGAGAGAAGAAACATACTAGATAAAAATGTCAAAAATTCAGATTCGAGCTTAAATTTCTAAGTCAATAGTAACATAAAAAAACCCAATTTTGACTATGGAAAATGCCACAAATTCCCTAAAAATTGGAAAATTTCCATATTAAATCTAATAAACAAGATCATCTACACCCTCAACAACCAATCAAAATTCAAAATTTTCCACGATACCCACCTTCACTGATCATCCGGATTAAACCTTTACCAAACTTCTCTCCTCCCACACTGCAATCCTGTGGATTCTCAAACAGTGAGAGAGACAATTGCTTATGAGCAACGCCCATATCAAACAAAATAACTCCCGATGAAGAATCAGCAACTAATATCTCTTTAACCGGCAGCCATAGAAAGAGCTCCTCCTGCGAAAGACCCACCAAACCCCTCAACCCACCATAGCTCAAATTACCCCTCACCGTCTCGTTGAAGAAGACCATTCCATCGTACTTGGCATAGCACGGACGGTCAAGATGAGCTTCCAAGACACCAGTTTCCAGATCCAGATTGTAGGACGACACCGCAGTGGGGAGAAGACCCGCCGGTAGGCCGTGTCGCGTAGTAGTTCGTGGATCAATCCGCCGCCAACGGCAGGTACAGAGATGAAGAGGATGAACCCTAGAAACCCAAAAAGGATTTGAAAAAAATAGGGTTTAGCCATTGGCGAGGCACAGATGAGTATATTAGTCCATTACTGATTGATTCATATGAAAGGTTTGTGCTTGTGCTAGTCAAGAGGCAGGTTTTAAAAAAAAATTAAATTTGAAAAAAATTATATTTTCATCTAAATATATATAAGGGTAGAAGGTAATTAGTTCTCATACATCTACAGCACAGCAGCTCTACAGTTATACTATCCAAACAAAATATAATGATTTCTATAAAGCAACTTTAAGAAGCAACTTTATGTACAACAACTTTACAACCTACTTTACCGACAGCTGCAGCCGTCCCAAACGCACCCTTAATCTCTACTCCAGCAGTTGGGGTATGAGAAGAATGCATGTATCACTAGTCCTCCCAACCAACAACATTCATGCACTAGCAACTCTAGTCAACCTCTCCCTTGATGACATCCCATTTGTTTTCACCATAATGTTACCAGTTACTTGCTCATTGACACCCTCAACTTTTGGAACTCTCCCTAAAATTTCAATCGTCTCCCTTAGAAGATGACTAGAGTCATGTTGACTTTTATGGAGCCTTATCAACCTTACATAGCCAGCACCTATGTTTTCTATTCATTCCCGGTAGTTTCAATCAATAGAACATCTAGATAGACGTCCTAAGAAATGCAAACAAGTTAATTCCTCTTTCATTGCATGCCGTGCCTGCTAGTTCCGGCAATTTCATCTTCCAATCGATGGTGTACCAAATCCTATCTGCTCTTCAATTAATGAATCTTTGGGTTCCCTACCAACCAGCTTCAAGTCAATTAATGTTCTCTACTTAAAATTGTTCACGCCCAAGGTAAAAGGACTCCTAGATCAATCTCTTGTCCAGCCCAAAAAATCTCTAAGATTTTGTTTCACATCACATATTAATGAGATTTTATTTCCACATCACATATTAATGGCCTAGTTTGAGCACGTTTTTTTCTGGAGTTCATAAAGGATCTTCAAATGTCCTTAAGCACATACCCAACAATTTGGAAAAAAAGATGGACATGGATCACAGGTCGCTACATAGGTGGTTCATACCTCTCACGTCACCCACTTATTACAACTCTTTGGGACAACCAATCAGAGTCCAACCTCCTCCCAATATTGAGCTCATAAACCAACATCTTGAAAGGGATCTTCTTACTCTCACCCTCTCAAGAGATTAAAATCATATAAAAGAAAGGAGTCCTTCCCTCTTCTCCTCATTCGTCTATCACTTGCTAGTGCTGCTCAATAGGATGTAACGGACATTCCTTACACTTTGCACATTTTATCTTTCATAGTGAACTCCGCCCTCTCATTACACCTCAAGCACCACCATCTCTCCCTCATGAGCCACATGGCACAACCCAATAGTGGAACAATTTATGCCATTCACGAGTACCATCCAAAGACATGAGACAAAGGATTATTAGGTCCACAAGGCACCACTTGAGAAGAGAGTTACTTGAAGCAAGTTCTTATGGGTCAACTCAAGCAACAGAAAAAGCTATAACAATGCCAACCTCCCTACTTAGCATGAGGGGCACCCACCATAACCTTTTGTTGAATGATGAAAATAGGTGAGTTTTGCATCATCGATCAACTTGAAGCAATAATTAAGCTTTTCTTTTTGGTATCGTTTTCCCTTCTATATACATGTCAAACCACATTAGGTTGTCTACAATTTTTTTTCTCAAAAGGTGCCACTTTTGATGCCTCTAATACAATCATTTACCATCATCATATAATATTTTTATCTACGTCGCATTCCACTTAATTTTGAGTGAGTTCTCAAATTGAACTCTTGAATCCATACAACATAATCGATCCTACTAATGTCATGTTATAAATCATTTGCATGTCTATATCCCAAGTAATAGAGGGTGATGATTGATGTTAGTTCGCCAATTGTTAATTATATGGGAAACTCCATAAATAAAAGATATCACTGTAAGTGAGCATGTTATGCCTTTTGAAAATATCATGTCTCTCATTCTGGCATTTGAAAGCAATTGCAATAAGCACATTAAGAAAACCTTTAAGCAAAGTGGCATGATTTCATCATAACAATCTTCAACATATACATTTATCAACTTAAACCTAGAAAAGCAGATAACTATGTGTAACTGAAATATGATATTTATTTACCATTGCTCTACCCATGTACAGTCCGAATCAATGCACTCAGCACCAGCCGAAGTCGGAGAAGAATATTTTATGACCTGGAAGCAGAATAGTAGCTTTAGTTACTGTTAATGAATAATATTACTACCTACCAACGGTTGAATTTCCCCTAATTGCTAATGATCATCACAGGAATATGAAAATTCTAATTCCAAAAGCAAATATCCCTTGGTTCTAGGATATATACTACATAGATGCGTTACAAATCTGAAGGCATACAAGCACATTAGGAATTATCTGTATTTATCCAACAAAAGATTGACATACTAACACGGTAGAGCAATTAACAGGCTGAGTAAAGACTACCAAATGATAATTAACTTCTGGCAAGGCTAAAAAGAAGAAAAGCAAGATAGAGTTAGAAGCCCTTGCGAGCACCTTAAGAAGAACCCTGTCATCATTGTTGATATAACCATTGTACTGTTCCCGATATAAATAACCATTCACATAATCATCACTGCTTGGACTCCTGTAAATAATATACGTTGGAAACAAAGTAAGCTCTCTCATCACACCAGTTCATTAATACTCAGCAAAAGGAAGATTGAATAGCAAAAATCCAGCACCCCAACAAACTAACGAGACAAAAGGAGAGAATTTAGATGACCTTTTCTTGAGACGAAAGGTGGAAGGTATCGGAGTCAGATCCGGGAATAAGTCGGTGAGGTGAGGCAGATCAAAACGCCTCTCGAAATCCTCCTGGAACTGATCCTTCCAGTTCGTTTCAGCGTAATCCATTCCTGGGCCGCTCTCTTCCACCGCAGCAGACGCCAACACCAAAAGGCTGCCACTTCCCCCTTCCTTCCATCTCCGGAAAACCCCTCCGGCTACTTCCTTACTTGGGGAAGAAGACAAAGCATATAGAGGAGTAAAACAAGAATGATCCAAAGACCGCACGGCAGAAAAACCAATAGATACCGAACTCATTTCTCTCTCTCTTTCTCCCTGTATGTAATGATGGAAAGACCGGTAAAGTAAAGAGGATTTCGTTTGGCTTCCTGGTCCCGTTTTGAAATCGACGGAGACCGGCGAGTTTATACCCCCTAAATGAAGTGATGTACTGATTTGCCCTTACTATTGGGTCTTGCACGGTCCATTTGGAAACTGGTTGATGGCATGGGCCTAACTTTATTTTTTAAGCAAATTATTCAAAAACTCACAAAATGCTTTGTTTGGGACAGATTTTTTAATACTTCTTAAAGCGGCTTTCTTAGTACGAATGTTTTATTTTTGTACTAAAAAGATGCTTTAAGAAGCAGAGAAAAAGTCATTCCAAATGAGACGTTAGGCTTTGTTTGTGACGGCTTTCTTACTAGTTACTACTTCTTAAAGTAAATTTTTAGTATAATATTTTTTAATTTTTGTACTAAAAAATTGTTTTAAGAAGCAAAAAGATTTTGTTTGGAACAGCTTACTAGTTGCCTCTCAAAACAACTTTCTAGTAAAAAATTTTATACTAAAAAGTTGTTTTTAGAAGCAACTAGAAAGCCGTCCCAAACAAATGTATAGGCTTCTTTGGGACAGCTTTTATATTGCTTTTTAAAACGACTTTCTAGTACAACAGTTTTAAATTTAAGAAATTTTTGTACTAGAAAGCTATTTGAAAAAGCAAGAAGATAGTCGTCCCAAACGAAGCCATAATATCTTTTTATAATTTAGACTTCGTTTGGGACGGCTTTCTTATTGTTTCTTAAAGCAGCTTTTTAGTAAAAAAAATTATTTTTTGTACTAAAAAACTGCTTTAAGAAGCAATAAGAAAAGCTCCCAAACCAATAGATTAAAGTGAGCTGCGTAATCCAAGGTGCTCGACAATTTTTCAAAATTTTATCATGAAACTTTTCCTCTTCTATTCTCTCATATCTCTCATTCATCAAGAAGCTCGCCGCATAAAATGGCATTGTCTCCTCCCAAAATTGAGATTTCTAGAGAGAGGTACTCAATTCTTATCATGGACTTTTTAATCAAGGACGTTGTGATTATCTCAATGAACTCCCATCTCTAATTAGAGGATTCAATGTTTTCTCATTTGTGAACTTACTCCAAATTAAAGCTATAATAATTATGTTTTATCTATGGGCAATAATAAAGTATCATGCCCTTATGAGTTTAACTTAATTTTGTGTTGATATATCATCAAAAAATTATCTTGATCAGGTACTGTTGTGTCCTGGAGTATTTGCGGCGGTAGAGAAATATATGGTTTAATGTCTTAGCGTTGTACGAAGATCCAGCACACAAGCAGATAAGAGAGAGGGTGTAGCATTCATAAGAGACACCATAGTTTTTACGTGGAAACCTTTAAAAAAGTGGAAAATACCACAAGGCCTGACCCAATTTGAATGAATCCACTAGTATTTGCAATCAATTACAAATGGTGGGCCCTTCCTTAGGAGAAGGCCTTGGCTTGATGGTATAAAATGTATATCATATAGAGCACATTACATGGAGGGAGTTACATATACATGTTTGTTTGGTCGATAGGACCATAGTTGATGGAATAGAGGTCAGAAAGACCGTAGTTTGCAGGAGACCGGGGTTAGGAAGATCGTTGTCTGGTGATGGAGGTCGAAAAGATCGTAGTAGGCGACGGAGGTCAAAAGAACCATAGTCGGCAGGAGATAGGTGTTTGAAAGACTGTAGTTGGCAGGAGACTAGGGTCAAAAAGACCGTTGTCTGGTGATGGAGGTCGAGAAGACCGTAGTAGGCGACGGAGGTCAGAAGAACTATAGTCGGCATGAGATATGGGTCTAAAAGACCATAGTTTTAGGGCGGTACTCTGGTAGAAGTTTGGGCATCAAGTGGTGGTCCGGCAGAAGTCTGGGCCTTAGGTGGTGGTCCGGCAGAAGTCTGAGCCTCAGGTGGTGGTCAAGTAGAAGTTCGGACCTCAGGTGGTGGTCAAGCAGAAGTCCGGGCCTCAGGTGGTGGTCCGGTAGAGGTATGGGCGTCAAGTGGTGGTTCGATAAAAGTCTGGGCCTCAGGTGATGTTCAAGTAGAATTCTGGGCCTCGGATGGTTGTCTGGCAGAAGTGCTGGCATCAGCTGGTGATCCGACGAAAGTATGGGCTTTAAATGGTGGTCCAGTGGAGCAACGACGTCAGACGGTGGTCCGGCAGAAGTTTGGGACTCAGGTGGTGGCCTGGTGGAGCACAAGGCCTCAAGTGGTGGTCCGGAGGAGCAATGGTGTCAGGTGGTGGTCTGGCTGAAGTCCGAACCTCAAGTGGTGGTCCGACAGAGGTGAGGGCCTCAGGTGGTGGTTCGACGAAAGTTTGGGCCTCAAGTGGTGGTCCGACGGAAGTCCTCAAATGGTGGTTTGGTGGAAGTCTAGGCCTCAGGTGGTGGTCCGGTGGAAGTCCGGGCCTGAGGTGGTGGCCGGGTGGAACACAGGGCCTCAAGTGGTGGTCCGGAGGAGCAACGATGTCAGGCGGTGGTCCGGTGAAAGTCTGGGCCTCAAGTGGTGGTCCGGCAAAAGTGAGGGCCTCAAGTGGTGGTCAGGCAGTGGTGAGGGCCTCAATTGGTGGCCTGACGGAGGTGAGGGCCTTTAGTGGTGGTCTGGCGAACTCCGCCAGTGGTCGAGAACCTCAGGTGGTCCGGTGAAACTCTGGCGGTGGTTAAGGAGGAACTTCTTCCTTCTCTTCTTTTCTCCTCTTCTTGCTTGGCCCCTAGTGGTCTATTTATAAATTTATGGAGTGGCATGACTCGTAAATATGTGAGAGATCAAGGGTAAATGGGGAGTGGTTGGATGGACGGGCGATATTGAATCCCTTGATCAAGTACTATTCGTCATACATTTGAGGGCTCAATGATGTCGAATTTCGGCGATCTTGGGCTCGTTGGATTCGACTCGTTGATCCCTTCAATTCGACTATAAGCATGTTATGTTTGGAAGCCGTTTGGTAACCCAAATTGTGGTTCAAACCTTCCAACAGTGCTTCGGGTCCTTGATTTGGACTCATTTGGGTTCGAATTGAGTAAAATTTGGTGTCGTTGGGTTTGTATTTCCAATATAACTTTTTTATGACATATAAGTTGCCCCCTATTTTCGGACGTCGAAGTTTTAGAAGTCTGAAAATAGGCACAAATCTTGATGCGAAATCAACTTGGAAACTTCAAAAATTAAATTAGAGCCATATGAACTCCAATTTCAGTCGAATTGAACATCTCATAAATACGACCCAACGACATCAAATTCGACCCAATCCGAGATCAAATATTTTGATATTTTTAAATATGTTTCAAGTCCTTGATTTGATCCATTCGGCTCGGATTGGACCATTTTTTTATTTCATTGCGTCATCTCCTAAAGTTGTTCAATTTAACATTCCACTAGCTGAAATTGAAGTTCGGACGATTCTGAACGTAGTATTGAAAACTTTTCATCCAAATATACCTCAAAGATTCATATTCAATCAAAATAATTTTTGTGGCATATCAACTCTTACGGGTTATGCATAAAGTTTTATATATATATATATATTTTAAAATAAGAATAAATATATCTATACTACAGCGGCGGATAAATTTAATAACAATTTAATTAGTTTTTTTAACTCAAATAATATATATCAACAAGTATATCATATAATATTTGTTAGAAATTTATAATTTTGATATAGACTAAATAATAGTTGATATTTCTATTATTTATTTATTTACATTATATGAACTTATATTAATTAATTTAATATTTAAAAATATAAGGATGCATGGTATACTTTTTATTTTATCAATTTTATGAAAATAATTATCAAATAACATATTTGGATGTCTTTCCTGAATTTGTGACCTCATCTATTCTCTCTTAGGATCCTTCAGGGTCTTGGTTCCATTTTTGGGTGCCCTCTCAAAATTTATCAGGCTACCTCTGTTGGTTCTAGGTCCTCTATTGCTCATATTTTGATTGAATTGGATGTTCCAAAACATTTTCCAGACAAAGTTTGGATTGGCCCGGATAATCTGGGTTATGTACGGTCGGTTGTTTTTGAAGATGTTACATCTTATTGTTTGCATTGCAAAGCTTTTGGTCACTCCAATTCGGATTGTTTGGTTTTGCATCAGCATTTGGTGAAGGCACGTAATGTCCCTAAGCCAGTTAAAAATGTTGTTTCTGGAATTGTTGTGGAACCTGGTTCGAACATTGGTTTAGTCCAGTCGGTTGCTAGTCTTGTTGTCTCTACTGTCTCCCTGGGGGGTTGGTTGTCTTGACAGTTCTACGACTGTTGTTGTCAATATTGATAATTTAGTTGTGTTGCATGTTTCTATGGATATTAATTCTGTTATTAGTATGCTCCCTATATGTGTTGTGTCTGTTGAACCTGTTGCGGGGAATGTTGTTGGTCTGGTGGGAGATGGTAATGCGGTCGGCAATTATCGTCCTGTGGTTGACCTATCTATTCCTTATAATAAGGCTCCTATCAAGGTGTTGGATAATCCTGTGTTAATTATTCTTCTCTCCCTATCCCTGTTGTGCCGTCTCTTGTTGTGGATAATTCTTCAAATGCTGCGGCGGTTGTTAATTTTGGTCCTTCTAAGAACTTAGCTGGGATGGAGGAATTTGTTCAGGGGGGTTCACCTACTGTTACCATTCCTATTTTAGCTCAGGTGGACTTTGTAGTGGTTTGGGATGTTCTTGTTGCCCAGACCCAACGTGTATGTGTTAGTGATGTTGGTGTAATGAATTGTGGTGTGAATTTGAAACCCGCTTTGTCTTGTGTGGTTTTTGTGCGTGTCCCATGCGGTTTGGCCACTGCTGAACAGCATTGTGTGGTCGCTGAGTAGTCTGATTCTTCTGTTTCCTTTATTCGTGTTTTATTTGATTGTGATGTGTTATCACCTGTGTGCCCTGTGAATCCAGATGTTGCCTCCTCATCTGTTCAATTGATGTTGGATAAGCAGGGTCTTGATCAACCAGATTTAGTGTTGAATAACGGCTTGGAGGGCAATGTCAATTTTGTAATTATCCCTATTTTGGTAATGTCTAATATGAAAATGAAAGAGCAGGTGGTTAAGTCTGTGAAAAACTCTA